CGCCGCCGCAGCCGCCGCAGCAGCAGCAGCCGCCGCCCCAGGCCCCCCCCATGGAGCCCGAGGCCCCGGATTCCCGTAAGAGGCCCCTCGAAACGCCCCCCGAGGTGGTCTGCACCAAGCGCAGCAACACGGGAGGTGAGAAAGGGCTGCGGCTCGGTGGCGGGGAGCGGGCAGGGGGCCTCGCCTTTCTCCATCCTCCTACCCCGCCATGGCAGGTGCAAGGGCTCTGGAGAGGCGAAGGACAACCCTCCCTAGACCCGGGGACCAAGAGGGGACTTGGGGAGGGGGCCGGATCGCCACCACCTCTCGCAGCTGCCCAGGGCTGGGAGCTTTGTTTGCGAAGAGAGGGGGTGGGGGGGAGGGGTGGTGAGTGTCCTTGGGGGGGGGCGCAAAGGATGGGGGGCGTGGGTCCCTCCGGCGGGTGTCTCTATGTCCTTGAGGGGTGTGTGATGTGACTGACCCTTTCGGGGCAAGGGTGTCCCTGGACTGGTGTGTCCTGGGCGGGCAGGGGAAGGACTTGAGGAGGCCTGTGGACCTGGAGCTTCCCAGCCGCCCTCCTGGGGGATGTCCTGAGCAAGGGTTGTCCCAGAGGGAGGTATGGGCCATGGGCGGGATTGTGCGTGGGGACATGCTGGGTGGGTGTGTTGGGTGGAATGGAGGAAAGGGTGGGTGTGTAAAGCCAGGTGGGAGAATGTGTGGCTGGGACAAGGGTGTGTGTGGGCCCTGTAAGGCCTGGATATGTGACATTAGGGATCATGGATGTGACAGGAAATCGTGCGTGTGTATGTATGTGTGTGTGTATGTGTAAGAGAGAGAGTGAACTGAGAGGGTCTAGCTCCATGTTTAAGACCCTTTACGGGGTATCTGTAACAAGGAAAGTATGTGCATGTCACCCCAGAGGGGGCTGTGGCAGTGTATGTCACAGAAGTGAGAGGGGGTGTGTGACATGCAAGGGGGTGTGTGGGGGACGCTGAATGGGCCAGCTCTGGGAGCCATGAGAGCTGTGTGGATGGCGGAAGGCAGTTAGCTCAGTGTGTATGACACAGGAGTGTCTGGGGTGGGGTGGCAGCAGGAGAAGCTGGTGAGGGTATGTGACAAGAAAAGGGTGTGGGTGTGACTCCAGAGAGGCTGTGGCTGGGTGTGACACATGGAGGTGTGCAACAGTGACATCAGAGGGGGTGTGTTCGACAGGGAAGGTGGGTGTATGATGGGAGAGGCTGGGGCTGGGGATGAACTGCACGAGGGTGTGTAACGAGGAGAGGGAAGGATGGATGCCCGTGTGACAAGGAACAGGGAACGTGTGCATGTGACAAGCACAGGGTGTGAAAAGAGAAGGGGTATGTGTGTGTGTGTGTGTGTGTGTGTGGCTCCCAAGGTTGTATATATGTGTAGCAATGGGAAGGCTGTGTGTAAAATGGATGAGTGTGTCACAGATGTAGGAATGATTGTATGACACGAGTGTGCGTGTGTGTGTGTGATGGCTGCGTGTTTGACAACACAGAAGGTGTGTGTGTAAGACAGGAGGGACCCTCACTGTGTGTGTGACCTGAGCTGCGTGTACCAGAGAATAAAAGACAGGCTGGGAACTCTGGGAGCTTGTCTTGCAGAGGGGACTGGAAGAGCATTTGTTGGGGTCCTCAGAGCCCACCCCATTAGCCCCTGAAAGGAGGGAGACCCCAGAACAGACGAGGCCCTCCCAGCGGTCACCTTGGCCCAAATCTCTGCTTCCTCTGGCCTTTTCCTCCGGATGGGAGAGAGATGACCTCAGGCAGAGTGCACCATTCCGGGCACTGTAGTGGGTGGGGTGGGGACCTCCTTCCCTCCTAGGAACACAAGCTGATTCTCTTCCTCTTATCCCAGCCCCCTGGCCCTGTCCAGGTGGGACAGGAATGTGGGACCCCCTGGACCCCCTGGCTGCCTGTGAGGGTGTCCAGCAGCAACTGGAGGAAAGGGAAGTCGGGGGAGGGGTGGGAGGGAATTTCCTGTCCCTCTTCCTGCTCCCCCACCCCCAGCACACACATGAATGTGTCCCCACAGACTTCCTTCCCTCCTTCCTGCCTCACTGCCATTCCCAGCCCTGGAGAGGTTTGGGGACCCAGGTGGCAGTCCAGACGCAGCCCCCTGGTGGGGGTGGGGGGTGTCTCATCCTTCTCTTAAAGGGGCTGAGTGGCCCCAAATCTCATCACTCAGAGCCACACAGCCTAACAATGGTGATGCTGCCGAGGACAGTCTAGTCCAAGTGCTCAGTACCTGCTGGGAGTCAGGCTCTGAGATACAGGTTCATCCCCCAGCAGCCCTCAGGGGAGGTGGTTTGAGCTTTTCCAGAGGAGGAAAGCAGGCTCAGTGAAACGAAGCCACTTGCCTAGAGCCACACAGCTCGTGAGCGGTGAAGCTGGAATCTGTCAAACACTGAACTGCCCGGCTTGGCAGCTCATGTGCTTAACCACTGTGCATGCCGCCTCCCTCAGCAGCAGGGAAACTAGGATGAGCCCTTAGGGGCCCTCTCCTTCAGACTTTTCCGCCTCTCCTCCCAGTGACCCGTGGGGAAACTGAGGCCTGGAGATGCAGAAGAACTGCCCTCCATTTACAGAAACAGATACAGAGCTGGGCAAAGGTCCAGAACTTCCATCTCCAGATTGAGGAGACCCCTCAGTAATGCTCTCCTGATTGTGGGATGCTGGTCAGCCTCACCCCTTTTCTGAGCCTCAGTGTCACCACCTGCCAAGTGGGGAAATACAATAACCAGAACAATAATAATAACAGCTAGCAATATTATTGCTTAATGCCTGACATGTAACATTTCATTTAATTCTCCCAACACTCTGTGATATAATAATAATAAATTATAATAATCGCTAGCATTTATGGTCTATAGTGCACTGGGAAGTATTATGGAAAATGCTTGGCAGGGTCCAATTATTTAATCTTCACAATTGGATTATGTTACCCATTGATTACAGATGACGAACCGAGAGACAGAGAGGTTATGTCATCTCCCTGAGGTTGGTCAGCTAATAAGAGGCAGAGCTGGGAGTTGAACTGGGAAGACTGACTCCACTGTGTGGCTAGACACTATAGTGAACTGAGGCTCAGGGGAGTGAGAGACTTTTCTGGGGTGAGAGTCATGGCCGAGTGAGCAGATTGAGCTCCTGCCCAAGGTGCCAAGCTGCCACTCGTGCCCATCCTCGGGGGCTGACAGAGGTGGCTTCTGGGCACCACACGGGGCAGGCAGCCGCCCCCGGGAAGGAGACAGGCACCAAGGACAGGAATAGTTGTGTGAAAAGGCTGGATGGAAACTCCAGTTAGGAAGTCACTGGGGAAACAGGTGACCCAGTGGTGGGACAGTTAATGTGAGTCTCCCTTGAGTACACGTGATAACTTGTAAGGTGCCACTAGACCAGCCCCCATGTATTCCCACCTCTCCTGACTATATTCTCACCTCTGTCACCCCCATATATACACAAATAGCAGCTTCTCGTGCCCCATACACACACCTCACCCCCACTGTAGCTCACACCAGCTAGGTCTTGCTCCCAATATCACTCAGTCGTTCACACAGATAGTGTCACAGAGGTCAGAGCCCTAGAGTGAGACCTTCCAGGGTTCATCTCATCAAAGCTACGCTCTTGGTATGGGACCCTCAGGCAAGTTACTTCTGTGCTCTAAGCTTCAGTCTCCTCATCTGGAAAATGGGAACCATAAGACCTACCTCACCGTTTCTGGGCTGTGATGTGGGTTAAAGGAGACTGTGTATGTGAAGCATGTAGCCTAGGGCCTGGCAGATGGTGCACTCGATAAACAAAACCTGCCACCCTTACTCTTACCCCTGAGGATGTCATACCCACCCACCTTTCTCACTCAGAGACAGTGTCACAACTCAAAGACAGCCTCACACCTTCCCTTCAGAAGCACGCCCCAGTTGTATTACATTTCTCACGCAAACGGGCAACACCGGTGTTCACAGAAGGACTTCCTGTGCCTGACGTCCCACCATCCTCAGCCACACGGCTCCCACACTGCAGCGCCACCATCTCTGCGACGACATCGACACCACAGAAGCCTGTTCACATCTCCACCGAACACATCAACGCTTCCACCCTGACCCCCAGACAGGACCAGATACCTTGAGTGCAGCACCCCAACTTTGGTTTTCCCCAGACATACAGTCACCAGACCAACACCCCTTCCAACGGACACCCCTTCAGCTCTGTTGTCATTAATGACCCCCCCTCCACTCCAGACCAGAGCCGCCTTTCCCAGTCAACTCTGTCAGTAAAGAATGCCACTCCTACCACCGCACCCCAAATTACTTACGGGGCAGGGATGTATTTGTTGCTTTTTGCAAACCTCCAGAAGCATTCCTGAGGATGGTGGGCACAAACAGGAACGGGACAGGAGAGACTCAAGGTGACCAGGAGAGGAGAGACCTCCCCTTCCCGAAGTGAGAAATGCCTGAAACTGCGGCAGGAGGGAAACTGAAGTTGTCGTCTTTAGCCCTTCAGTCCTAGTCACAGGTAGAGAGAGCTGCCCGGACCCAAAGGGGAGAGCTAAGTGTGTGAGGGATGGGGTGGTAGGTGGGCGCAGAGTTTTGGCATCTAGATTCTACTTACGTAGAAGGAAGAACTTTTCACAGGCAGAACCTTGGTTGCCCAAACAAGGCTGGAGTGTGTGAGGCCTGGGGGCTCCGGGTTCAGCTGAGGGCACGTGTGCCCTCTTGCTGCAAGGCAGGCTGGGAAAGAGGCCTGGCTTCTTCCCTGGGGAAGGGGGACTCAACATGGTGGGAAATGCCCCCAAACAGGAAGGACACGCAGAAGATTCTAAAAAAGGTGCAGAGCAGCGTGGTGGCCACAGTGGGGAATCTTGGGACCTAAGAGTTCTGAGCGCCTGCAAGCCGGAGGTCTCAACTGGTCACTCTCCATGGAGACTGGCCCGAGGAGGGGCTCCCTATTTCTACTAGCCTGATACAGGGACCACGGAGCATCCACAAGGTGGTCTAAGGGGGTCAACAGACAAACTTTTTGGCCATTGTGTTTATATTATATGCTTTAGGGGGAGGGACATAACCAGCCCTTCAAACTCGGATTATCAGCAGTGATTTTTATATGTCCTCTTCAAAGAGATGCATTTAAATGTAGGAACTGGACCACCTGTCTTGTTCCCTCCTTTATCCCCAGCACCTAAAACAAGGCCTGGCACATAGTGGGCACTCAGGAAGGACTTGGAGGAAAGAGAAGAAGGGAGGAAGTAACAGTACAGAGGGATGCCATAGGATAAAATTCAAGAAGGTGATGAGGAAAGAGGGAGCTGGTTGTCGAGGCCCGGGTAGGGGAGCAGCATCTCACCTATGTCAGTGTTCCTCTCAGAGAAGCAGAGAAAGTCCTGGGCAGCCCCTGGGGAAGACAGTGACCCCAGTGAGGTTTCCCCTTCTCCAACTTTTCCACAAACCCACAAACCTTGAGAGCTCCTTTCCCAGTGCCAGACACTGTAAGAACTTTGCTTGTGTTGAGGAATTAGGTCATAATAATAATGACGATGATACCAAATGTTTCTCAAATGCTGTAAGTGCTCAAGACCATTCTAAGTACTTTACAACTTACCGTTATTTAATTACAGTAGCCCTATGAGGCAGTGCTGTCATGTGCCCATTTTACAGGTGAGAAAAGTGAGGCCCAAAGATAGGCAGTGACTTGCCCAGGGCCACACAGCCTGTCAGTGACAAAAGTCACTCCCGCCTGGGGCTGTTTTCTGCCCTTACCTAGGGAGATGCTCAGACAAAGCCTGGGGAAGTGTGAGATGGGGTGCTTAAAATGGGGTGCATGGGGGGCATGCCCAGTTCCCTGCAGAGCAAATGAATCCCAGGGGGAAGAGGCCCTGGCTGGAAAGAAGGTAGGAAATGAAGGTAAAGAAGCAGAGAGAGGATGGCATCCTTGTGAGAACACCTCCTCGCCTTTCTGAGCCTTGTGGAGATGAAAAACTGCCCTCCCCGCTCCCATCTCTGTGACAGGTTTATGGGAGGAGACAGGCAAGGGGCTACCTTTGTGAGCCCGGAGAAGAAAGTGAATTCATGGGGGTCCGATGATTGATGGGAAGGCTCCCTGGGAGGCTAATGACCTAATAGGTTTAATGGTCTGATTAGGCAAGTGTAAGAGGATTGCCTTGGGCTCAAGGAAACTCCCTTATTCCACACACCCCCCAGGCCTGCAAACCCACATCCAGCCCCTCGCCCTGGAACTCCCATCTTAACTCATCAGGGAGCTCAGAACCTTCAATCTTGAGGCGTCACGCGGAGATGGGCAGGGCCTACGCTGCCCTGCCCCCACTTTTACCAGAGCAGTTTCCCTTCTATCTGCTCTGTATGTTGGGGTTTCATCTGAGACATTAAAAAATAGGTTTCCTTTGCTTAAAAGAAAAAATTGAAAAACCACTGGGGGGCTGGTTTAAGACCTTAAGCTTTGGAAGCAGAATGACCTGGCTCCTCCCTTCCTTTCTCGGGTGTTTATTGCGTGCCTACCATGTGCTGGGCACTACATGAGTCCCTGGATCACAAGGTTGAGCTCTAGTGACAAAAATCACATGACTGCTGTGGTACCTTGCTCTGAAGACAAGGACCGGGGGTCCATCCCCTCCTCGGGGTTAAAGGAAACGAAACCTTCAGGGGGAAAAGCAGTATTTGCATGGGGACTTGAAATACAAGAGGAATTCACTGGGGAGGGGAGTTCCAGGCAAAGAGAATGTGCAAAGGCCCTGAGGTGGGAGGGAGGAGGAAATGTTTGAGGAACAAAAGGGAAAGAGTGTCTTGTGAGCATAGAGGAAGATGAGGATGTGAGACTGGAAAGGTGGATGGTGCCAAATCACAGGTTATACTGAGAAGGCTCTCGAACTCCTATCTCCAGAGGATTTAGGGGCAGCAATTTGGTTGAGGTTGGAGGGGTTAGGCCTGTGCCTTGAAACTGCATTAACAAAGAAGACTGACCCATAACAAAGAGTGGACACAGCCCCACAAACAGCTGGCACCACCTCACTGCCTCTGGGCTTGGAGACTGTCCTTGAGCACCTGGTCTTGTCCACCAGCAGTAGAGTGTTAAATAAGAGAGGGCTCACAAGGAAGCAGGATTGCACTGAATCTCATGGCAGCCACTGTCTTGGTGCCCTTGGGCTGATGACCTTGGGCTGCTGCTTTCACTTTCTGCCTCAGTTTCCTCTGGGGTAAAAATGGCTCAGCCTGCCCACCTCATGGGGAGGCTGTGAGGAGTGGATGAGGTCAAGCTTGAGCCCAGCGACACTGGGTCGATGGTGAGGTTGAGAAGTCCGAGTCCAGCCCTCCTCTGCTCGGTGCTGCCACCACCAATCAGATCCAGGCAGGCTCACTGCCGTCACCTCCTTGCTGGGCCCTGCTCTCAGGCTGCAGAGGGATCTTCCTGAAACCCAAGGCAGACCACATCCCTCATTGGCTCAGAGCCCTCCCACAGCTCCCATCTCACTGGGAGTAAAAACCAAAGACTTCACCGTGGCCCACAGCCTCAGCACCCCGTCATTACCACCACCCCTCCCAGCCTTCATCTCCTCCCGCTGCCCTCCTCTCCCCAGCCACCAACCACCTCAAACAACCCAGTCACAATCGCACCCCAGGGACTTTGCACTTGCTCTTCTTCCACGTAGCCACATGGTTCCCTCCTGCACAGCCTGGAGACAGTGGATCATAATGGTCTGGAGCATGGACTCTAAAGCCAGTTTGGGTTCAGATCTCAGCCCTGCATCTAGTAGCTATGTGAACTGGGGCAATTATTTCACTTTTGTTTCCTCATCTGTAGAATGGAGGCTTTTTAAAGTACTGGTCTTACAGCATTGGTATGAAAATGAACTGGTATTTGCAGAGAACAGTGCCTAGCACGTATCAGGTGCTGTAGAAGTGTTTGATAAAGAATGCCACTTTCTTGGGGAGGGCTTTGCTGGCCGCTGGATCTGGCATTGCACCCACTATGTTCCTCAACCCCCTTTCTGCCTCTTGTTTTCTTAGTAGTTACCACCATCTGACATAAAACATACTGTCTGTGTCCCCCCCTTGTAGAAGAATGAGCTTTTGGCTGAATCACTAAAATTCTTTTGGCCTTATTTGCCTCATTTGCCCACAAAATCAGGGAGCTGTGTCTGTTTTCTTCATGGCTGTTTCACTAGACCGGTGCCAATGCGTTGTAGCAGGTGCTCAGTAGCTATTTGTGGAATGAATGAATGAATGAGTGATTTGCATTATTTTCCTTACTACTATTCTCATGGTCATTGCTCCTATTTGTTACTGTGATCCAGCATTTTCCTGTGCCCACCCCATGCCCCTGCCTCCCTGGGGGTCGCCTCCAGAGGTGAAGACCCCCCCTCTTGATTCCCCTCCCTGCTGTGTCCCCCTGCAGAGGAAGGCGAATACTTCCTGAAGGTGCTGATCCCCAGCTACGCAGCAGGCTCCATCATTGGCAAGGGCGGGCAGACCATCGTGCAGCTGCAGAAGGAGACAGGAGCCACCATCAAGCTCTCCAAGTCCAAAGACTTCTATCCCGGTGAGCCTGGTCTCGGGACTCTGCCCTAGACTTGTCCCTCCCACCTGGGCCCAGGAGGAGGGGGAAGGGCTGCCCTAGGGGCAGTGATAGGGTGGGGAACCGCCCCTCCCCCTAAGGGGATGTGGCTGCCCTTGGCCCCAGGGGCCAGGCCCGAGCAGATGGGGGTGGGGGCAGGGCAGGACAATGGCTGCTGCATATTCATTAGCTCATTTGCATGATGTGCTGGCAGATGTGCCCCTTCCCACACACCTGCCCCTCTGGGTCAGTTGGAGAAGCTGGAGGGGGTGGGCAGGGAGGCAGGTGTCAGGGCATCCCCTGGGACTTGGGGGGCCAGGCATCCATGTTACTACCCCACTCCTTTACCCTCACTCTTTCCCTTTGGATTCTCTGTCACCCCATCTTGCCTAATCTGAGTCTTGCTGGTTTTCTGGGTCTGTCACTTTCCACACGTCTTTTTCATTCTGTCGTGGGCTTTCTTGCTCCCTTAGTCTCCATTCCCATTGGCCTCGGACTCCTGCTCTTTTTGCTTCTGTCTTTCCGGTTCTGCCTGGATGGTCCCCATCTCTTGTCTTCTCAGGCTCCCATCCTCCCTGTCTCCCCATCTTTTCCTTTCCCTCCGCCTCTCATAGTCTCACATTTTCCCTCCTGCCCTCTCACGCTCCCTTTCTCCTCCATCACCCGCTCAGCCCATACGTAGTAGCACCGCTCAGTAGGGTCATCCCGCCTGGAGCTGCCCTCATTTCCTCCTGCCTGTGCTTGTTCATCTCTCCCTCTTTCTCCTAAGTCTCAGCTCCTTCGTGTAGTTTTTTCCCCTCTCTCCAAACCCAGTCCTTTTTGTGCCTTTCCTCCGACTCTCTCTCCCCAACCATACATTTTTCAAGACCCCTCCATTCTGTCTAATACCCCTCAATATCTCTCACCCACCATATCTCCTTCCCAAGACAATGCCTGTGCTCGGCATCTAGGAATCCAGGGAAGGTCCCCTGAATTGCATCTTCGGTCCAGCGCGGGTTCTAGTTCATTCTTAATCCCCTTGGATTTTTTAGGTCAAACACCAGAACTGGAGCCCAGGGTCAAGACACATTCATATCCTCTCTCTCTCTCCACGCCTCTCTCCTCCCTCTCCCCACCTGCCTCATCTCACTAAGCAGCTTTGGCAAGAGGTTTAGAGAACAGTCCAGGGAACCAGGCACCCCGCCCCTTCTCTCTTCCACCCTGGCCCAGTTTTCCCCCATATGCCTCTAGCCCACAAGATACGGATAAGACCGCTGTTTGGGACATTCATCTGAGGACACTTAGTTCCTTACCCTGGGATCACATTCTGTGACATGAGACATGTCATCCCCTCCCAATTCAGTGACACATCCTATAGGCCAGGCAACTGAGAACGCCAGAGGTTGGGACAGTCCGTGGCTTTCCTGGGCCAAACACTATTCAGATAAGCCACATGAACCAGCATCTCTCCCCAGGACAGGCATCCAGCTCCCTTCTGCACTCCTGACCATATGGCATGTGCCAGTTCCTGGCTCAAGAGATGCAGGACACAGCCCCCTACTTCCTAGTCCCATCCCTAGGACTTCCCTCTCCACTCCTGACTGACACCCTTTCATTCATTCATTCAACACATATTCTCTGCACACCTTCCAGCTCTGTGCTGGACAGAGATGGGGACACATCAGTTACTGAGATTCCCTGCCTCTGCCTCATTCAACACATATTCTCTGCACACCTTCCAGCTCTGTGCTGGACAGAGATGGGGACACATCAGTTACTGAGATTCCCTGCCTCTGCCCTCACAGATCTCAGAACCCAGAAGGGAAGACAGACCCAGCACCAGTAGCAGCCTAGAATGGTCAAGGCTGGGATGAGGAAGCCAGAGGATGGTGGGAGCCCAGACAGGGCACCCAGACTGCGCTGGGGAAATCAGGGAGGGCTTCCTGGAGGAGGAATCAGAGCAATAAGTAAGAGTGAGGTAGACAGACAGCAGGGACGGGTGCTCTAGGAAGATGAAATTGTGTGTTCAGAGGCTAGAGGAGTAGTTTGTTCAGGGTGACTGAAGCGTAAAGAAGAAATGAGAAGTGCCTGGTGAAATTGCAAGGGTCCTCTATGCCCTGTAGGTTCACACACACACACACACACACATACACACAGATTGCACTTGTGAGTCTACGACATAAAACAAAAATCTACCTGGCCCTTAACCCCAAGGGAGGGGCAGAATACACAAAGGGTGTCCTCTTTTGGTACGGGAAACCCCAGGCCCCAGATTGAATCCTTCCAGGTCATATATGGAAAAATCCAGACCCAGAAAGAGGCAGGTACCAGCCCAAGGCCACATATACTCCTGTACACCCACCCAGACACTCTAATGATTCTGAGCCTCTCTGATTTTGAGCATCTGCCTTGACGCTCTGGGTCCTATCCCCAGAAGACACATATGCTTTTAAAAAAATTGTATTGACTAATAACGTATTTGCACTAAAGTGCAAAATCTTAAGTGATTGCTTAATGTGCATGTACATTCTTTTTTACCATCAAAAATGCACAGGAAAGTTGCAATCATTTTATGTGTTCCCCCAACACACACACTACAAGCACCCCCAAATTTAGCACAGGGGGTTCAGGAGCTAAAAACCCAGATCCTGAAACCATATACCTAAGTTCAAAACCCTAATGTTTCGTGCCTGACTTAGTGAACCTGGCCAGATCCCAAGCCTCCTCTGTACCTCAGTGTCCTTGGCAGTAAATCGGGAATAACAGTATTGCTCACCTCATATGTTAAGTGACAAAAAATATATGAAGTGCTTAGAATGGTGCCTAGTGCTTGGTATTATGTAAGCACCAGCTGTTATTATTGGACTTTCTTTCGGGGTTTAACTGGGCCCACAAAGCTCCTGTGGGTCCTAGTTAAGAGCTACGGAGGGTGGGAGATCACAGACTCCCTGAGCTGGACAGGAACTTTGCAAAGATAGACTGGTCACTTCAGCCAGGCTCTCCCTGGGGCCACCCTGCCCCCCCCAGTTCCCACCCTGACCCACACCCTTTCCTATTTACACCCAGACGGAGGCAGCCTGCCCGCTGACTCACCCTTGGCTCAGACCAACCCATTGTTCTGGAGTGAAGGGGAACAAGAGTGAGGAACAGTGGCCCAAAGGAGGGTCAGCTACACAAGTCACCCACGACAGTGACACCCAGACACATGGCAAGCCTGGCATGCAAACCGAGCGATGGCAAGCAGGTGGTAGCACTGGCCTGCTGTACTGGAATGCCCACAGTACAGTGGACACTCACCCCAAGTGTCCCAGACATGCAGGCGCATAGAACCTGGCACACATTCAAGACCTTGTACAGACCCAGGGAGCTAAGCCATCCTGCAGACAGTCCCACTCAGGGAGAAAGACGTGCAGGCTGAACACAGCAGACGTGCCCAGCTCACCCGGCCGCTCACATTCTCCCACCAGCCAGTCCTGGTAGTCTCCTTTGTCTGGCTGTAATGTGTACACCCAGACACACACACAATCACTTGGTCGTCCAGTCTTACGTCCTGACACTTGAGTCTGCCTCTCCATGTCCCTGTTTCTCACATTGACACACACCAGTCATAGAGTCTTGTTTGTCTGTCCGTCTCCTGTGTACACACCATTACATATCTGCACTAATACCACACCCCTAGAGGTGTCTGGCTGTCTCCTTTACTCACTTTCCCTGTACACACCATGCACCAACACACTCACCGTCATACCGTGTCAATGCGCATACATTTATTATACAACCTAGATGCCATTTCGTGAGGTGGTTTCTTTCTCTCAAACTCTCCTGCACCCTCATTCTCACACACAGTGTATATAACCTTGAACATCGTCGTGACCCCTCAGTCTTTCCCATGCAGAAGAGTGCCACAAGCATCCTTGCTAGAGTCACTATGTCATATGGTCTGTTTATATCTCAGCTTTTCCTGTTCTTTCTTATACACACATATACAGGTAAAGATACTTTACCTGCTCCTGCCCAAGTGTATACATGCATGCGTGTGCATACACATACACACACACACACACACACCACTCACCCAAACAGCTTCACAGATACACTCATACTGGTCACAGTGTCACCCAGAGTCTCCCTCCCATACACATATGGGACACCACTCAGTTAGGTTCTCTTCTCCCTGCTGCCCCTCCCACCCCCTGCCCAGTCCATATACACACAGTAAGGATGCCTAGGTCAGAACCACAGCCAATATCTGGAAAATCTCCAGCAAAGGCACTCACCCCACCCTCTCTTCTACATCCCCCAATTCCCACTCTTCCACAGTTGCCTTTGACCCACTCTGCTCTCCCCTGTCCACACCTCTGCCCGCCCCCACCCCTCAGCCCTCCATCTGGTGGGTCCAGGCAGGCACTCAGGCCTCTCTTTGGCTTCCCCCATCCCCCAGCCCTTCCCCATCCTCTCCAAAAGCCCAGAGGCCTTCGCTGCAGGCTTTCAGGGGTTGCCATGGCAACGGGGCTTCGTCCCTCATCCCCCTGGGGGTGGGCTGAGGACCGGGCCAGCCAGACCGATAAGGGGGTTCCAGTTACTGTGGCAACCGTTGCAGGCCTGAGCTCTCAGCTTCTAGAAGGGGGGTGAGGGGGAATCGAGTGAATGGTTGCCAAAGCAACCGGGAGCCAGCAAAGACTGGGAAGAAGCAGCTGAGCCCTGTCTCCCCTGCCCAGGGCTGCTGTGGGCATCGCAAAGCACTTAAGCATCATTCTTCCATCCCCTGGGGTTGTTTTTGGAAGGGAGATAAAGGACAGATTATAAAACTGGGATTCCATGCACTCTCCCAGCTACCCATCATGGCCTGGGAGCCCATGTCAGCTTGCCCAGGCTTAACATGTGACCTGGGGCCAGTTTAAGTCCAGTCTATGGACATCAATTTTCTCTTACGATTAAATGGCGCCTGTCTTTCAAGAATGTCCCCATTCCTGCCTGATAAGTGTGCCCTCTCCCTTGCTCAACAGGAACCACAGAGCGAGTATGCCTGGTACAGGGCACAGCAGAGGCCTTGAATGCTGTGCACAGTTTTATTGCTGAGAAGGTCCGAGAAATCCCACAAGCAATGACCAAGCCTGAAGTGGTCAACATCCTTCAACCCCAAACCACAATGAACCCTGACAGAGCCAAGCAGGTCAGCAGGGCCAGAGACGGGGTTTCTGTAAAGCTGGTGAGCTTCTGGAGAAGACAGTTCTCCCACATCTCGGGAGTACTAATGGGGGTTCAATGGAATAATGCTGATAAAACGTTTATTCAAGTACAGGGTATTGGTTAATAGTATTAGGTAGTCAGCCTAGGGACTCCAGATCTCTTGAAGTGGGCCTGATTGAGAGAGTGAAGGTCTGGGGAAATTTGGCCCAGACCCCACTGTGTATCCCTCCTTCCTCAGATCTTCAAGATCCTCTCCTCCCTTCTGTCTCATCCCGTTGTCTCAGAGCAACCTACTTCCCGCTTCCTGTTCTCACCGGAAGTGACCTCAATGACACCGGAAGTGACTTTCAAATCCAGAAGAGTTTAGAAGTGGCCTCATGCTCTCTCTGTCCATCAGTTACTGAATGGGAGTAGCCACCATTTTGGAGAAATGGTGTTTTGTTAGCGAGAGAGGGGGCAGATGTCTGTCCTACACATCCCTCTCTTGGAGAGATGGAAGGAGGAGGGTAATGCCTCTCCTTGCCTCAGCTACAGGGAAGTGGTGGCATAGGGGTGTGGTAGGGGGTGGACCAATCGCTTTAAGGAGCTCTCCGGTTGCCAGGACCGCAATGCTCCAGGACAGGTGGGCTTGCTGCAAAGCCCCTGGCTGTGCTGCCAGAATAAGAGGTGAAGGGGAGGGGAGCGCTCCCGGCTGCGCGTGCCCATTTTCTCTCCCATATACATGTGCACACACAGGAGAAGCCCCAGGCAGGCTGACAGGTCTCTTGTGAGGGCTCCCTAACCTCTGCCTGGAGGCAAAGATGAGAGACAGGCCCTCGGTAAGAGGAACTTGGAATTCTTGGGAATTCTTGCTGCCCTGAGGTGGGGGAGACCACGGACCTGAGTTCCGCTAAGCTCATGAAGGAATGGTGGGCGGAAGGCCCTGAAGAAGGCTGCCTAGCCTATCAGTCCCAAAAGATACTGTAGGCTTCGAGCGTGCAGTGTGGGCGCTGTCCTTGGTGCTGAAGTGGCTCCGCCAGGCCTCTTCCAAATCCCTTTCCACCAGGAGGCCACAGTTTACCCAGTTTACAGGAAGGTGGGAATATTGCCTCTTCCCTCTGCCTTGGTCACAGCCACAAAGGGCTTAGGGTTCGTGAAGAATTTGCACATGTGACAGAGAAAATGGAGTCCGTGCTATTTGCCCCTGAGTCTCAAGCCCCATCCTCTGCGGAGATAGTGGAGTCAAAAGGTTATAGAATCAGGATTTTTCTTCTGCTTGTTACTAGGGGGCTCCAGAGAATGAGAGAGATCATGGCTGAAGGTTCAGTCTCTGGAATCTTACTCTGATACTTCCTACGTGAGTGACCTTGAGCAAATGCCTTGATTTCTCCATGCCTCACTTTTCTCATTTGCCAAGTGAGCTTCATTATGGTACCTGCTTGAGGCCGGGGGTTAGTGTGTTTGAAAAGCACTGAGCACATGTGCCTAATGCATAGACAGTTTGCAAAGAACGTTAACTGTTGTGATTATTGTGACAGGATTTTTGAGTCAGGAGACAGGCCTCCCCCCTTTCTACCCTGGACTTGCTGTGTTACTCTGGATCCTCTTCCTTCTGCAAGTCCCATTTTCCCTTCCCTTACAGCACAGAAGCTGGGCCAAACCAGGGATTATAAATTGAAATGCCTCCAGGATTCAGAAAGGGAATGGAAAGGACTGATGTCTATGACCTACTCATAGAGATATAATGCCGTCCCTAAAAGGGGCAGCTGCTACTCAGTTTCACTCAGTTCTTACCCTTTGGGAATGTGGACATAGTGTTGCTACATCTTCCAAATTTTTCAAAAGAAGCCAGAAATATTTGAAATCAACTAGTTTTAAAAGGTTGGCTCAGTTTCACTATGTGGTTGTAGACTGGCTGTTGTCTGGGGACCACCATTTTGCCACCTCTAGACTAGACTGGTAGTTTTCAACCCTGTCTGGTATCTGAATCATCTAAGTACCTTAAAAGCAGATTCCTGGGTCCCAGCCTGGAAACACTGGATCATAATTTCTGGGGATAAGGACTGGGAATCCAACCATGGACTTTGACCTGGGATCATATCTGGGCTCCACTATTCACTCTCTGTGTAGCCTTGAGCAAGTTCCTTAACCTCTCTGTGCCTTCCTTTCCCAATCCATAATAATGTGCTAATAATAGTACCTCCCTTATAGGGTTGTTGTGAAGATTAAGTAGGTTACTATATGCACATGTTGAGAAAAGTGTCTGACAAATGGTAAGCACTGTTAGCTACTGCTGCTATATTATTATTATTATTATTATTATTATTATTATTATCACTTTATAAAAGTGGCAAATGGTAAGCACTGTTAGCTACTGCTGCTATATTATTATTACTGTTAGTGTTTGAAAATCTCCAGACTCATAAATCACTGGGACAGATGGTCTCTGAGGTCTTCCTGGCCCTAAAACTCCCACAATTCTACAGCTTTGTGATTCCAAGATTCTAGGCATACATTGTTCTAAGGTACTACTCTCCAGTATCCTGGGACTCTAGGACTCTGTGATTCCTCACCTGTGATCTCTCAAGATGCTGTGCTTTTATAATTTGGGCCCGTTACGAAGGCAACTACCATTTCTGTAGGGTTTCTCATGTCGGGCACTAGGTAGGCAGTCACCAAAGTCATTGAATAGCCCCTACAACTGTATGGAATAGCTGTGGTTTTATCATTGTTGGAGTTGAGGAGACTGAGGCACAGAGCGAGCAAAGGCGTTTGCTCTCACCGTTTCTTGGTGAGCACCATTAGTTGGGTGGAAATGTTCCATCCTTCCCCCTTTCCTCTGAAATACTGAGGCTGTGAGGTCTGGTTTTGTACATCTGTTCAAGCCCCTTGACTTGTCACTTTTTTTCCTGATGATTTTTGAAAATATAACAGCTATATTGAGATATAATTCATATACTCTAAAGTTTACCATTTTAATGCATACAATTCAGTGGTTTTTAGTATAGTCACCAAGTGGTGTGGTGATCATTGTGTCTGATTCCAAAACGTTTTCACCACCCCAAAAAAGAAGCCCCATACCCAATAACAGTAACACTCCATCCTCCCAGCTCCCCCTCCCAGCCCCTTCCAACCACTAATCTACTTCTGATGTCTGTGGGTTTACCTATTCAGGATATTTTATATAAACTGAATGATAGAATATGTGGCCTTTTGTGTCTGGCTTCTTTCCCTTAGCATAATATTTGAAGATTCATCCATATTGTAATATATCAAAATTCCATTCCTTTTTATGGTCAAATACCATTTCATTGTATAGATGTATTATGAGAGTGATGTAATAATCCATTATATGAGTGAATGGATTATTTGTCCATTAGTTGACAGACATTTTAGCTATTATGAGTAATGCTACTATGAACATATGTGTGGACATATGTTTCTAGTTCAGGGGTAGATTCCTGGGTCATATGATAAATCTATGTTACATTTTTCGAAAAACTGCCAGACTCTTTTCCAACCTGGCCATGCCAATAGGGGATTTAAATCCAGGTCTGCCCCCAGTATCAATGACAACAAACATTTCTTGAGTACCTATGCTGGGCACATACAAGTTGCATATTCATGTGGTACCTATGTTTAGAGTGGGTGCTCAGCAAACGTTGCTTGTTTGAGTGAATGGATGATGAAATGCCCACAAGGGCTGAGCAGGAATATACCTAAGGGGATATAGCCAGATGTGTCCTGGCAGTGGTAAGTTCTGTGAGTCACCAGAAGGACAGCCATAGCTGTTTTGGCTAAATGTGGCTGTGCTTGAATTTCAAGCTCATTGCTTCATGAATGATCTCAGTTAGGCCTCACGATAATACAATAGAGGAGGTATGAATATCCCCATTTTACAGATGAGAAAACTGAGTCTCTAAGAGATTAGGTCCCTTATCCAGCATCAGTAGTGGAGCCAAGATTCAAACCTGAGCAGGTGTCTCCAGAGTCCAAGACATCTTTTCAGGGATTTGTGTGCACAGACTGCAGACTGGTGGCCCACCTGCTACACAGTGGTTCTTAGACATTTTGAAGAGGTGCCAATATTGAAAACCTAAGATGCTGCACATTTTACAAATCAGAATTTCCAGTTAACCAGAAAAGTCAGATCAGGCTGAGTCTGGTCACCCAAATGCACAGCACCCTACCACAAATGCATACACACATACACACACACACACCCCACCAGGCTGCCTCCACTTGATCGCATTCCTGCTTGGTCCTGTGGCTGTGTCATCAGTCATTCTGTCACCCAACTGTTCATTCACCCACCCTCAGCTCACTGTGTTGTCGGCACTCTTCTAGGCACTGAGAACCCAGTAGTAAACAATACAGACAAAAATCTCTACCCTTGTGGATCTTAAATTCTTTCATGGGGAAACAGAAAATAAACAAGTAAATAAGTAAATGTATAGGATGTCAGAGTGAAAATACAGAAGAAAAATACAGAGAAGCAGGTAAAGGAATATTGGGTCATTTTTTTTTTCTCTAAACTTTCTATTTTGAAAGTGTTTAAAGAATAGTACCATAAACTCCCTATATACTGCACTTAGATTCTCCCATGGTTAGCATTGCTTTATTTCTTTACATACTCACACACACACACACACACATACACACACACACACACACTGGTTGGTCTTTTTTCTTCCTTTTTATTGGTTTAGGGTTTTCTTGCTGATCCATTTGGAAAAAATAGACCTCATAACTGTTCACCCCCACATACTTCAGCATATATCTCCCAAGAATAAAGGTAGTCTCCTATATTATTATATTATTATTATCACACCTACAAAAATTTACACTAATTCCATAGTATTATTTAATAAAAAGTACATAATCAAGTTGCCACAAAATATTTTTTATAACTAAGGGTATTTTCCTATCCAAGATTCATTCAGTGCTCATGCATTGCGTTTGGGTGTTATACCTAATTAGTGTTTTGGTAGCCTAGGATAGATTTTGAAGACAGAGCCGAAAGAATTGCTGATTGGATATTGAGTATGAGTAACGACAGGACCCCTAAGCCTTGGGCCTGGCTGGTAGATGGGTGCATTGTCCCTGTGCTGAAAGGCCAACCATGGTAGAAATACATGTGAGAAGCAAGGGGAGGAGTTCCGTTGTGGATGCACTAAGTTTGAAGTGACATTCAGCCTCATGCTAGAGATGTGAGGTTAGCAGTTGGATATGAGTCTAGAGGTGTCTGTGCTAGAGACATAAAATAAGGAAACAGGGAAGGCCTCTTGGAGGAGGTGCATATGTGCAAAGACCTGAATGAAGAGAAGGGTGAGCCTCCTTTTCTGGGAAAGAGCGGTCCCAGTGAGGGCCAGCAGGTACAAAGGCCCTGAGTCTGGACTGAACTTGGAGAAACAGGAGGGAGTCCAGTGTGTCTGCAGTGGAGTCACAGAGGGAGGGAAGGGAAGAGTTGAAATCAAAGGGCTCAACAGGAAACAGAACACGTAGCACAGCAGCTCTCAGACTTGTCAGTGTCCTCTTCTCCTACAAACATTTTCCCATGCCCACTTTACTCTCTGGAATTAGGCAGATAATATAGATAAAAAACATCTGAAATCATTTTATTTCTTTAACAGTTTTATTGAGATAGAGTTCACATACACACGATTCACTCATTTAAAGTATGCAGTTCAGTGGTTTTATTATGTTTAGTTGTGTGTCTAACATCACAGTCAATTTTAGAACATTTTATTTCCTTAAAAAGAAATCTTGATCCCCTTAGCTACCACCCCTCAGTCCCTCCCTGTGCACCCACCCCTAGTCCTAAGCCATCATCAATCTACTTTCTGTCTTTATAGATCTGAGCATTCATATAAATGGAATCATACAATATGCAGTCTTTGTGCCTGGCTTTGTTCACACGGCAGAACGTGTTTTGGGTTCATCCATGTTGCAGCAAGCATCAGTACTTGGTTCACTTAAATTGACTGCCAAGTAATATTCCATTGTACAGATGTTCATTTTCTTTAACCTATAAGGCTTTTTAAAATAAAATAAAAAGGTGATTTGTGGTAAAGTAAGATGAATTTTAATGTGTTTCAAATTCCCAGCCAGGACCAGAGTGGAAGAAATAAGGACATAATCAGCGGCTCAAATGTGACATAGCCTGAGGGAGGAGACAGTGGCGAAATCAGTGATCTGGAGTGTAGTATTGGAGACTTAAATGATAAAAGTGGCATTACTACCGATGTCATGGCATTCTAAAACGATGAATAACTCTTGGTAAAGTTCAAAACAAAACAAAGTACAATCTTCCCTGGAGTTATTGATAGCTGCATCCCTGGAAGCTTCAAATTTAAAACCGTGTCCACAAATCCTTGGTACTTACATGTATCATGGAGTTCAGTTCTGGTCTCAGATTTATGGTCAGACTTTTCACCAAATGAATGACAGGGACATTCAAAAGTCATACAGTACCTGGGCTAGTTCCTGCTTGTGAGGAACTGACTCCATGTTAAGGAGTACAGACATCTGTGGTCCTCCCCACTGATTGTCCTCGGTTGTTAACTGCAACAAAAACTGCTCCCCTTTCCCAAACACCCCTGGGGTCTGGCTTGGGCATGGAGACGCGAGGCAGAGGTGAGTTCTTCAGCGGGTAGAATCCACAGGTCTGAGGGGAGTGGTAAGGATGGAGAGGAAATCTATGTGTAAAAATGCTCTCGGAGATTTGAAAGGAGACATTTAATTTTTAAATACCCACACTGGAATTGAGATTAATCAGATTTGTGGCTGCAAGGAATGGGCTGCTCTGCAGCAGAGATCAGCTTTCTCACCGCCTTCTCAGACATAAGGTTTTATTCGCTTCATTTTACAGATAAGACAACGGTAGTACATTGCTAAGGCTGCCATAACGGAGTGCCACAGGTGGAGTGGCTTAAACACCAGAAATTCATTTTCTCATGATTCTGGAGGCTGGACGTTTGAAATCAAGGTGTCAGCAGGGCTGGTTTCTTGGCTCATAGATAGCCACCTTCCGTGTCTTCACATGGTCTCCGGCTCTCCCTCCCTCCCTGTGTGTGTCTGTCCCCCAGTCTCCTCCTCTTATAAGGACACAAGTCATACTAGATTAGGGCCTACCCTCAAGGCCTCATTTACCCTTGATTGCCTCTTTAAAGACCCTACTTCCAAATACAATCATATTCTGAGGTCCTGGGAGTTAGAATTGAACATATGACTGGGGGTGGGGGGGTTACAGTTCAGCCCAGAACAACAACAAAGAGGTTAAGTGAGAGTGAGGTGGTTGTGTCCAGGGCGGAAAGCACAATGGATCGCAGGAATCCAGGAGGCTGGATTTCACCTTCTCCACTATCTGGGTGACCTTGGGGCAAGTTCCTTGACCCCTTCAGCCTTAAGTGGCTCACCTGTAAAGTGAGACTGATGATGTCTTTTCTGGGCCTGGAGTCAGAGTACGTAATGATACAGAAGGCAGGGGCACCAGTGAAAGCTTGCAGCAGAGTCCTGGAGACCCCCACTGCGTCAGCTATTAAGCTTGTAAGTTGCTGGATGGAAGGTCCCAGGGGCCCCATGGGCATGGGACAGGTAGCTGAGAGGCTACTGAGGGGACCTGGAGTACTCTTTGCTTATAGCCACTGTGGAAGTATTTCAGTACTTTTAGGCAGTAGGTCTGTACTGGTGCATACCAAGGGGGAGGCCTCATTTTGGACACGTGAGAGCCAGGGTGGGAATGACTTGTGATGACTGCAAGACCTAGACTAACGTTACCTTTCAGTGTCCAATTACCACCTCAAAGACCCTCCCTCTTGCTCCACAACAGGCCAAGCTGATCGTCCCCAACAGCACAGCAGGCCTGATCATCGGCAAGGGTGGCGCAACAGTGAAGGCCGTGATGGAACAGTCTGGAGCCTGGGTGCAGCTGTCCCAGAAGCCAGAGGGCATCAACCTGCAGGAGCGTGTGGTGACAGTCAGCGGGGAACCCGAGCAGGTGCACAAGGCCGTGAGCGCCATCGTGCAGAAGGTACAGGAAGACCCCCAGAGCAGCAGCTGCCTCAACATCAGCTATGCCAACGTGGCCGGCCCCGTGGCCAACTCCAACCCCACCGGCTCGCCGTACGCCAGCCCTGCGGACGTGCTGCCTGCTGCCGCCGCCGCCTCAGCTGCCGCCGCCTCTGGCCTCTTGGGTCCTGCAGGGTTGGCCGGTGTGGGTGCCTTTCCCGCTGCCCTGCCCGCCTTCTCGGGCACCGACCTGCTGGCCATCAGCACGGCGCTTAACACGCTGGCCAGTTATGGCTACAACACCAACTCCCTCGGCCTGGGCCTCAACTCGGCCGCAGCCTCCGGGGTCCTGGCTGCTGTGGCCGCCGGTGCAAACCCTGCTGCAGCCGCTGCTGCCAACCTCCTGGCTTCCTACGCGGGTGAGGCAGGGGCCGGGCCTGCCGGAGGGGCCGCCCCACCTCCGCCCCCTCCCCCCGGAGCCCTGGGGTCCTTTGCATTGGCCGCGGCTGCCAACGGCTACCTCGGGGCCGGGGCAGGTGGCGGGGCAGGCGGAGGGGGTGGCCCGCTGGTGGCCGCGGCAGCTGCGGCAGGGGCCGCTGGGGGCTTCCTGACGGCAGAAAAGTTGGCAGCTGAGAGTGCCAAGGAGCTGGTGGAGATTGCGGTGCCTGAGAACCTGGTGGGAGCCATCCTGGGCAAGGGGGGCAAGACGTTGGTGGAGTACCAGGAGCTGACAGGCGCCCGCATCCAGATCTCCAAGAAGGGCGAGTTCCTGCCAGGCACGCGGAACCGGCGGGTCACCATCACGGGCAGCCCCGCGGCCACGCAAGCCGCTCAATACCTCATCAGCCAGCGGGTCACCTACGAGCAGGGAGTGAGGGCCTCAAACCCCCAGAAAGTGGGATGAGGCCTGTGGTGTATGCTCCCACCCTCCTCCCTGTCCCTCCTCCCCCTCCGCCCCCCTCCCCCCCCCAACTCCTGACCTCAGCTCGGTGTAGTCCTCCTGGGATGGGGCTGGGGTAGGCCTGACTGCACCCGCCCCCTACTGGTAGTCATAGGCAGGATTGAGTGATGGCTGGGGATGGGCCCAGAAGCTCCCTCCCCAGCCCTGAACTGACCCCTTCTTCCCTCCTCCCTATGCTTGACTGGGCCTGACCCTCCTCTTCCAGGGCCCAGGTCTGTGTGATATCTGTATATATTGCATTTTGTTGATTTTAATAGAAAACAAAGCGTTATTTTCTCTTTCTTTCCCTCCTTTTTTTTTTCCTTTTTCTTTTCTTTCCTTTTTTTTTTTCCTTTTGTCTTTGGTAAGGATTTTTCCCCCTTCATAAATTTTTGTTTCAGTATGGGAGGGGAGGGAGCCTCTGGGTCACCTAGAATGAGGGGCCTCCCCAAACAACACCTCTCCTGCTTTCAGTTCCAGATCTGAGGCAAGTGACGGGAGTAGAGGCAGCAGAGGTGTCTGAGCCAAAATGAGGCATCTGGAGTGGGAACCCCGGAGTTCCCAGATTTTTTCAGCTACTCACCCCCCACCGGGGTTGCCCCTCCTAGATGGGACGTTTCTCTTTGTTTGTTGTCAGGTTATATCTGGGGTGGGATGCTGCTGGGAAGGAGACCAGCTCTGGGATTGCGCCAGCCCCATGGGCAAGACTGGCAAGACTTGTGAGAGGCTGGACAGCTTCCTGTAGCATCCCTGTGGCTTTTCCTAGAGTAATGGGAATGATGTGATGTCACAGGAAGTAGCTCCCCAGGGGTCACTTCCTGTAATGATAGGAAAGACAGGTACTTCCTCTGATGTCTCACTGAGCCTTCCTTGAGGGTTATTTCAGTGACATCATGGGGGCAGGTACTTCCTGTAGTATCTCCGGGCTCTTTCCTGTGATATCACTGGGATGAAGCATGTACTTCCTGTATTGGGCCATGGTCACTGACCTTCCTTCTCCATCCACATCCCTCTATGGTGAGTCTTGGCCAGGAGGTCTTCCTAGGAGGAGAATGAGGAGTGGGACTTGGATCAATCTGGAGGACTCTAAGGAAAAGGACCCAGTATTGTCAGGGTCATCTCCATCCAAACACACCAAGTCTGTAACTCAACCTGGCAGGGAAGGGTGTGGGTGATGGAGCTAGTGAAAATTGTTAAAGACCCCTCATTCCCACCCCACCTTTTTGTGTGCATGCTTGTGTCTGCGTGGCTTTGTTTCATTGAGTCCGGTGAGCCAAATGTGTTATGGCTCTGTCAGGCCCTTATGGCCCAGTGTAGAGGTCAGAGAGCCGTGGTAGGATCCCTTGAGCCGGATGCTTCTAATGGTCTAATTGCTTGTGGTTTCCAGCAAGCTGGAGTACTTCAGCAGCATCTGATGGGTCAGAATGTCTTGGTGCTCTCACCAGGGGCTCCAAGGAGCTAGAATGTTCTGATGGAGTCTGCCCAGTCAGGCAGCCCTAAGAGCTGGTTGGTCAGCTCCAAGGCCTTGTTGGCAAGCTGAGATTGCAGTTCCTGACGACCTTATGGACTTGGGATAGCTGAGACCTGCCTCTTCCCCTGTCTGTCTCCCCTCCCCCTTGAAGACCACCTCCGCTTCCTCCAACTCTAAGCAGGGCCCTAGCGCCCTGATTCCATCATCAGCATCTCTGGGGGAGGGGCATCCCATGCCCACCCCTCTCCCCCATTTGTTCCCCTCCTAGGTCTTCCAGACCCTTTTCTCCATGGCTTTGGGGGAATCCGGCCTGCTCTCTCCTTCTCTCCCAAAAAAAGAAGGGAAGAAAAGCCAGAGACAATTCCCACCCCTAAAGCCTAAGAGACCCCTGCCCCTTGCTAGAGAGCCACCCCCAAATCAAAATGTGAAAAATCCCTAGAAAGCAATAGCCTTCAAGGTACCTTGCACTGAATCTCCCACCCCAGACCTTCCACCTGTCGGGAGGCTGTAGCTTGGGCACTAGGGTGACGTTTTCCATGCCCTCTTCATCTCCAGGGTGGCCCCATTTCTCCATCCCCTACTTCCCATTGCTGCTTCCCCTGCCCCTAATCTCCAGACTGAACCCAGATGGAGATCTGAGTGCCAAAACAATTCTTGATGTAACTTTGTACATATCTTCTGCAGTTGGTGGAGGTGGCCCTGTGGGTCACTTCCTTCCGCCTCTCAAAAGACCTTACAGTATTTCACAGTATCTCCACCTACATGTGGATATTGCAGTATCTAGCCAGCATATCCCCCCTACAACTCTCCAGGCCCCCATAAGGAAAGGAAGGAGCCAGGGAAAAGTAAAGTAAGGTCTGGGAGTGGAGGGGTGGGATTTGAAGGCACTCATTTACGTATCATTTGCATCCTCAGCAGCCCTTGTCAGATGCTTTCTGCAGACCCATTCCTGGAAGCCTGGGTCCCAGTCAGCGGGGTCCAGTACTCTTCTCGCACAGACACATCTCCGGAGGCTGGGCCTCCTGAAAAGTGTTCCCTTGGGGTATCTGTGTCACACTCCCTCCCTATTCACATTTCTTGGGGACCCTCTACCCCGCCAGCCAGGGCTATCTGAAAGATAGTTTGCTAGCTAAGTGAGCTAGTTCACTCCCGTTGGTGAGTGGAGAGCCACACACCTTTCCCCATTTTACCCTAGGACCCCCACTCTACCATCTTCCCCATCCTTTGAAAGTTCCTTCTGCAATCTGACCTCAATCCTTTGTGCTGCAGTTTGTCCAGAGGGGACACAGATGTGGGGTCAGGGATGGAGACCATTGAAAAACTCATTGCCTCTTTTTCTCCCCTCTTCCCTCTTAGCCAGTCAGATCTCAGAGACTGAGTGGCCTCCTTGCACCCTGCTCTTCAGCACCCACTAGGTGCTTAGTAAGTGTTTGCTGCATTAAACTGTCTCGCTGTTCCTTCCCATTTGCCCTCCAGCTCCCAACACCTTCCCCCAGTGTCTCCCTCTTTCTGTGGCTCCCTATGGCTTCCTACTTTCTCTCCCTGTGGCTTCCAGTGTCACCTGTCCTGTCTCTATCTTTGTCTGTGTCTGTCTGTCCCTCTCTCCTCAACTCTCTCCCCTCTCCCATTTCCCCATTGATTAAAAAAAAGTGCCAAACTTCCTTGGAACTGAGCCGCTCTGGGGGGAGGGAACCTCAGATAGAGGGGAGGAAATGGGACTGTCTCTCTCTGAGGAGGCCCCTAAGAGGCATTGAAAAAGTCTGTGGACACTTTGCTAAATTGGGTCCCCCTTCCTCACCCCTCCAGCCCTGAGTTTTTCTTAGAATCTTTGTAAGAAACAAGAAAAAGAAAAAAAAAACACCCCTTCAGCTAACCCGTAACCTTTTGAATCCCCCCCAGATTCCACCAGCCGGGGAGAACCCCACTTGCCTCCTTCGGGCAAATCTGTAGACACTGAAGAGAGAGAGAGAGAAAAACCCAAACCCTCTTCTGCTGGCCCGAAGGATGGTGCTAGCTGGATTCAGGAGAAGGACCTCAAAGCACTTACGAGAAGAAGGGGTTCAATGTGCCAAATTCACCTCCTCCATCCCCCTCTTCGGGGGGCTCTGAGCCAACCTGCCCCAGCCACCTTCCTCTGCCCGGTCCTAGCCATCTCTATCTTGGGCAAAGAGGCTTCGCTGCAATAATTATTAAGGGATAGTCGGCAAAGACCGTGCCGTCTTCATCTGCCCTAACGCCTGCCCTGGACTTGAAGGTGGGAATTAATGAGTATCCCAAATGGAGTTTGGTTAAGAGTAGATTTATAGACGGTTGGGGACCTATACTTGGAAGAATACGGTACCGCTTTTCATAGTGGTATTTCATCTCCCCTTCTTAACCCGCAAATCCCCGATTACCCCGGTGTTCTGTTTCTCATTCCTCCATCCCACACCCTCCTTATATGGTTTCTGAATGGTAGCGTACTGTTTGGAAAGTAAGAGGATTCCCGAGTTTGGTCATTGCTGTTCCAAGACCAGAATTAGAGGTGATAGACTGAGCCTTGGAAAAAGTATTAACCAAGAGTGGCGATGAGCAAGGCAGTTGGGGCGTCCAGAGTGCTGCTGGCCGCAGGCCTATCGCGACAGCCAGGCAGGCCTTCGCTGTTAGCCACGCACCTGCCCGCCCGTCCGGAGGCCCGAGGCCGGCCGCCGCGAAAGCCTGAACTGGGTGTCGCGACGGGGAGAACGGGATCGCGGTGCCCAAGTTCGGGCACTGCGGGCCGGGGACGCTGGCGTGGGGGCTCTCGTGGAGTCGCGCCAGCCAGGGCAGCCCTCGCGATCCCTCCGCGCTGCAGGCAGCTGTCTGGACGGCCCGGGGGATTGGGCTTCGCTCCGCGGCGCCGCTGCTGGTGTGCGTGGTCGGCCCTCGGTGCCCTCCGCCAGGCGCGTTGGGGTTCGCTGGATGGCGGGGAGGGACGGGGGAAGTCTGCGGCGGTGGGGGTGGTGAAGGCTGCTGGTGTTCACCCCCTTCTCAGCCAGTCCAGGACACTTGGCTCCCAGAGATGATGCGGGGCGGGGGGCCGCCCAATCCGCCTCCCCTCCCCTCTTCTCTCCCTTACCCCACTCCCAAAACCACCAACCTCTCATCTTCTAAGTGACTCCATCACCACCGGCCACCGGGACCTGCGGCCTCATTGCTCCAGCCCGCCCCACTCGACCGCCAGGCTCGCCCATCGAACTCCGATTAACCCTTTGTGTTCATCCCACGGAAAACTGTGTGTCCGGCGGCGGGGAGGCGGGGAGGCGAGAGGCATAGCTACCTTTCCTCCCTCTCCTCCCACCGCCCACGCCTCCCCACCCCATCCCATGCCCCCGCATCCCTCACCCCTAGGGTCCTCCCCGCCCTGGGGATGGAGACCCTATAAATACCTATGCTGTTCGGCTTTATCCCTTTCAAAGGTGGGGCCGGGGGCGTGGCCTCCTTCCAGTGGAGTGCTCACTCTGGCCCCCCCTTTCTGTGCCCCCCCTCAACTCCCCACCCTTTCATTGTAAATAGTCACTTTTGTACTGGGTTTGAGCCAGGGGATGTGGGGAGTCATTTTTTTTCTTTGTGTTGGCATCTCAGGCCACTGGAGGCATGGCTCACATCCTGGTTTGATTTGGGAGAAGCCCAAGATTTTTGTTGTTGTCCCCTCCCCTGCCCACCAGTGCTAAGGATTTCAAGGTGTCAGTATTATCCCTAGAGGGATGGGCAGGGTGGTGGAGGGCGGGTGGAAAGGTGTCCGATGGGATGACTTCAGCTTCCTCCACCTACGAAGTGGTTTCGTCCTCCCAAGCCCTGAGGAGCCTCAGTGAGATAATGGCGTCAAAAGAGAATCTCTTCCCGCTTTTCTCTGTCTGGGACAGATAGGGTAGAAGGATGGGTTGGGGGTATGGCTGTCTTCAGAGAACTGATTGCTAGATCCTTATTAGGACCTTAAGCTAGCCTCTCCCAGGCTTGTTCTCTCCCTTGGAAAACGGGACTGGAGGACCTGTAAGGTCCCACGGGTGTCCCCAATCCTCAGATCAAAGGCCTGAGCCCAGGGCTGGCCCCGTGCCTGCTGCCCGACCCCCACATTCCATTTCTTGGGCCCAGACTATCCACCATGTGGCCATGCCTCCAGTGCCTCCATTCAATCCCTCTAACTGATTCCTTCCATCCTCTAGACCAGAGACGCCGCCCACCTCCTCCCCACCACCCCCAGAAGCTCCTGGCTGGGGCCCACTGCCCTCTCCTCTCCCCCTCCCTGCATTGCCATGCCTGGGCCACGCCCACCCACCCCTCCCCACCCCAGTGTCCGTCGTGTGACCTAGTGCACCATGTATTAGCTTCCATGGCCCCTACCCCGGCCCCCACCACACCCCCTTTCCCCCGCCTTCTCCTTCGGCGATTTCACCTTTTTTTGCCGCGATAAACGCCATCTCAGCATCTGTGTCTAATGTTGTCTTTTTTGCTTGACATCACACACTCCTTAACCCATCCCCTTCCCTCTCCCTCCTCCCCGCACCTCCACCTTCATCCTAGATTCTTTCCCCCTCTCCCCTGGGGCTCTGGGCATCTAGGGGAGGCGGGGAGACCCCTGAGGATGGCCCAGGAGAGGGAAGGGGGGGGGTGAATTGTTCTCTGGACTGGGTGAGCACCCAAAGCAAGTGTGTCTGAGGGGAGCAGGAGTCCCAGGTTTAGCTTCTAGGGCCTTAGTGTCCACTCAGGAGGGTGGATACCGCCACCACTATGCCACTTGCCGCCACCCACACGGCACCACAATCCAGAAACAATCCAGAAACGCTCCTGGACACACATCCCCACACACAGCACTGTAAATGCACAACCCCAAGCAAAATCAGGATAGCCTAGGGTTAAAGCTTTGGAGTCAAAGGGGAGGTCCGGGTTCAGGTCCCAGTGTCTCTATGTAACCCCAGGACTTCAGCCCTCTGAGCCTCCATCTCCCTATCTGGAAAATGGAGATGTTTTTAATGTTACTTCTATGGTTTACACTAGGGTTCAATACACCATTCACTTTTTTTTAATTACTGAAGACCTACTATGCGTAAGGCACCCTTCTAGAGGCTGGGGATAAAGCAGTTAACAAAAAAGACCCAAACATCTCTGCCTTCACTGAGCATACGTTCTACAGGGATCTGGAAATTCTTCCTCGGCACCTGGGACTAAAAACCAATTCAAAGGTTGCAAACCGTCAGCCAGCGGGCACATGTGGTGCATAACGTAATCTCATTTGGCCTGAACAGTGTTTTATGTGAATTTGGGGTCAGCATTTGTGCTTGGGAGACCTCTGAAAATGTGGGTTTCCAGTCCTCAAGAAATCGGATATGCATCTGTGGGTGGTGATTGCCATCTGACCCTCATTGGCTGGAATATGGCAGTTCCTGCCCATCAGCCATTTGTGTTACATGCCTGACCCCTGGACACATTTGAGTTTACAACCCGTGCGGTAAATGTTTGATAGGAATGTCTTTCCTCTCTCTGGGTCTCAGTCTTCACATCTGGAGAATACCCTACAATGCTGTACTTACCTTCTGAAATATTCCAGAAAGATTCCACAAGTGAATCACCCCACCAGTGACACAGAGTTGATGCTTGGTATGTAGTGGTCACTGGAGAGACCCCTTCAGCTGAAAAATAACAGTAACATGATCCTAGAGAAGGACAGAAACCAAGCGAAGGGGACAGGAGGAAAAAGGAGACTGAGGCTAGGACAAAGCCAAAAAGAGACAGCAATGGGGATGAAGGGCAGACATGGAGAGGAGCTTCAAGTGCTTGGGGTGTGTGTTTTCATTCATTCACTCACTCATGCAGTCAAGAAACACTTTTTCAGCACTTGCTATGTTCTCAGGCCTAGGAACGTGTCAACAACCATGGGATTGTTTCTCATGTTTGCTGTCCACAAGCCATGTCCCCAACTCTCAGCACACAGTAGGTGTACAAAAGCCTCCCATCCTGTGTGCTACAGGCATTTATGGTCCTGGCTTATGGTATTCAGAAATATCACCAAGCCAGGCCGTTTTCAGGAAAAGAAGGAGAATTTTCCACCAGGAAGCTGGGAACTTGGGAAGGATCCAGGGGAGAAGGGAGAGTTTAGCCTCTCTTCTGCTGTGTGACTTTGGGAAACTCTCATGACCTCTCTGGCCCAGGAGATGGAAAGGAAGGGAGATGAGGTCAGGATGCAGGTGAGTAATGGGGTATTCCTAACTCCCTCCAAGCCTTCTCCCTTGGTGGGGGGTAGGGGCAAGGGGAATTGTAGGGGTGGGGCCTCAATGAGAAGAGAAATGAAGAAAAGATGGAGGAGTTGCTTGGAGGAAAGAAATGGTCCTGGAGACAGGGCTGGGTGGGAGGATGGAGAAGGAAGAGGGTCCAGGTGGCTCTGAGAAGCCATAGCACATGGGAACACGGTCATTAAGAGAACAGAGAAGGCAGAAACTGGCCTGGCAGGGAGGGAAAGACAAATACAGGAAATGGAAAAAAGTCAGAAGCAGGACAGAGCTGGAGATAAGAGTTGCCAGATACAGTAGGTCTGGTGAGATGGGAATTACAGATTTTTTTTTTAATTTTCTTAAATACAACTAGGTCCCATGCAATATTGGGGCCAGATTTATACTAAAATACTGTTGCTTACCTAAAATTCAAATGTAACTGGGCGTCCTGTATTTTATCTGGCAAAGCTAGACGGTGGAGAACAAAGATCTGAGGGGCAACAGTAAAGCCAGGAGAGCTAGTCAGAGGAGCCAAATCATCCGAGCCCAGTATCTGGAACCCTAAATCTGCAAGCCTAGTGCACCACCCCCTCCCTGCCCCTCAGTTTCCCGTTCCCTTGCAGACCTTGTTAGGAGTTAGACCACTCCTCTTAGCTCCTCAGTTTTCCTCTACCCTCAGGAATCTGCCTCAGACATCAAAAGTGGTTGAGTCACCCCTTCCCAAGTCACGCGGGCTGGTCTCTGGAAGCAGGGCCTAGCCTGAGGAGTAAGTAACAGAGGTGGCAGGTGCATTCAGGGGTACCACTCCTGCTTCCGTCGGGGCAGTTGAAGCTTGGGGCTGGGAGCAGGTATTGGGAAAAGGCATTCTAACTGAAGAACGCTCGATCAGAGGGCCAGGCCTTGGAGGATCTGGCAAGTCAGGGTCCCCGATGTCTCCTTCTGCTTCCAACTGTTGTGCTTTCCAGAGAAGTTTAATCTGTTAAGGGTTCTCTCTGCCAACACTCCCACTCCAACATTCAGGGGAGCACTCTGTCACCGTTTGTGGCCCCCTGCCCTTGCCTCTTCTTCCGTTCCTCTCTGCCTAGGTTTACCTTCATTATTTCTCTGGGGGTCTGTCTCATCACATCTTTCTCCTTACAAAGCCTGTCATTGTTGTTTTTTGGTAATCTCATCCCATTGCATCCCTGCAGGATTCCGTCTCTCACCTTGTCTCCGCTGGGGAATGGGGTCTCTGAGTGCCTCTCTGAATCACTTTCCCTTTGTCTGCCCGTGTCTCCATCTTCCTTGCTGTCGGTATACATGTTACTCCTCAGTGGCAGCGGACAGAATCCACTAGAGCCAGGTAAACAGAAAGGGACCTGTCAAGGGACATACAGCCCGTCAGAAGAAAGACTCTAGGTTGAGCTTCGAGTGAACTCCCAAACTCACCACCCAGAAGGGGCCGCCAGGAATTACTCCTTCCCTGCATAATCAGGAAGTCGGTCACTGGCTGCGCAACCACACTGGGTCACTGGGATCTACGGTGGCTTCTGTCCCGGCTTACCTTGGTTAGAAATTCAAGCTTCCCGGAAAGGCATCTGATTGGTGGAACCTAAACCTCCTCCGGGCTCTCAGTACACAAGCATTCTGGGAAATGTAGTTTTTCACTTGCTAACCTCAGCGGTCACAATCAGGTTCAGTTAGAGTGGAATGGTCACTATAAGGAGCACATATCGAGGGGCTCCTTTTCTTCCCATTTTTGCACTCCCTTCCTTCCTCTGTTCACTTCTGTTTCCATCAGCATGTGTTTCTCACTTTCAATCTTTCTGTTTGTCTCCCTTCTTTTGCCTCTTTGTCACTATCCAGTTTTATTTCAGTCCTGCCCTCTCTATGGCCTTCTCTGTCCTCTCCTGCTCTGGCTGTACGACCAGTGCGGAGCCCCACAGTCACCCTGTCTTCGCCTCATCCCTATCCCCAGTTGCAGCTACAGTATTGAGTGTGTCTCCCTCTTGGTCCCCATTCTCTGCTGAACTGGAGGCTCATAATTGTAAGGGAGGGAGGGTGTGGATGTCCCCTGGTTCCAGAGACAGGCCAGGAAGAGAACCCAGGCTTTGGCATTTCTCAGCTGCTGTCCCTGCAGGGGGGCAAGTCCAGTCCCTGCAGGTGGGCAACATGAATTGAAAGTTTGGCAAGTTCATGGCCAGAGCTGGAGGGGCCACAGGGATTTGGGGACAGAGCCAGGCCCCCTTGTGGCCAGATGTCATTAGAAGTTGTGACTACCTCAACACTCTCCTCTTCACTGCTCTTCCTCTTACCCAACAATCTTAGAACTGCAGGGAAATGGAGCTTCACGTCCTTCTCAGGAAGCACGGGGTCATTCAAAAAGTATTTATTAAGCACCCACTATGTGCCAGGCACTATTCTAGATCTTGGGTAACAATTGAGAACAAATTTCCCTCTCCTGGGGAGCTTACACTCTACTGGGGGAAACAGACAAAACAAGGTAAATAAGTAGATTATACAGTATACTAGATGATAATACAGGTCATGTAGAAAAATAAACCAGAAAAGGGAAATAGTGCTGGAAGAGAAGGACATTGCAATTTTCAATAAGGTGAATGGAAAGGCTTACTGAAAACATGACATGTAATGACCTGAAGGAGAGGTGGGAGTGGGCATGTGGGTATCTGGGGAAAGAGCATTCAGGCAGAGGAACTTTAAGTACAAAGGCCCTGGGGTGTGCCTGGAGTACGTGTGGAATAGCAAGGAGGCAAGAGTGGATGGAGCAGAGTGTGAGCAAGGGGAGCGTGGGAGGAAATGAGGTCTGAAAGGAGACTAAGGGAGCCATATTATTTAGTGTCCTGGGAATCAATGTAGGACTTTGAATTTTACTCCTAGTGAGACAGAAGCCATGGGAGGTTTCTGAGTGGAGAGATGTGAGCTGATTCAGATTTTAACAAGATCCCTCTGGTCATTGTGTGGAAAAAAGTCTGTAGGGGATGGGGGCTTGGAGGATGGCATAAAGAGGGAGCCCAGTGAGAGGGCAGTAGTCCAGGCAGGAGATGATGGTGGCTGGAACAGATGGGGACAGGGGAGGTGGAGAAAAATGGTTGGTTACTGATGGAATCTGAAGGTAGCACTGACGGCATTTGCTGGCAGACTGGATGTGGGGAGTGAAAGAGAAAGAAGGGTCAAGGATGATTCCGCATCCCATAAAGCTCTAAGGACTGGACTTTGGTTCCAATTAGGATTAGACATTAAGAATCAGGCTAAGGCTAAGATTAAGGATCAATAGCAATTAGTGTCAATAGAGTTTGGTTTGGGGTTAAAGACAGGATTGAGATTCAGGTAAAGATGAGAACTAGTCCTGGTGTTTGGGTTATGGCCATAGTTAAGGTTAGGGTTAAGTGATAGGATCATGTAAAGATTAGGTGTAGAGTTAATATTTCAGTTAGAGCTAGGATCAAAATCAAGGCTAGAAATTATGGCTAAGGTCAGGGATGGGTTTGGAACTAGGACTGGATCGGGGTTATCATTGGGATCAAGGTCAGAATCTCTGGTCAAGACCAAGGTTAAGGTATAGACCTGGGGTATGAGTGGGTCATGATCATCAGATTTACAGTTAAGGTTAGCATCAGAGACAAGTTCATTAGAGATAGAATTTAGCCAATTTGGGGATCGTGGCTAAGAATGGGCCTAGGTTTAGGGGGATTTAGGGAGACAGTGCTGGGATTATCAGACAAGCCAAAATTGGGTTTATAACAGAGACAGAGTTAGGGATTTACCTGAGGTCTGAGTCAGGTTAGGTGAAAGGCAGAGTTAAAACCGAGATTGGGGTAGGTTTTCCTTTAAATGTTGACTCAGCTTTTGGCGGGATGTGGGTTGGGTTAAGGTTCTGGTTTAGTTAGGACTAATCTCCTAATGTTAGAGGACATTGTCCAAACACTGGATATGAATGTGCATTACAGATTCAAGAATTTTAGTGCTGGGGTCCCGTCAGCTTTCTGTGTGGGAATGTAGGTTGGGAATGGTACTAGGTAACAAACCCTGTAACAAACCCTGACATTTCAGTGGCTTAAGAAAACAGGTCAGGTCCTGCTCACACAAGACAAATGCAGGTTTAAAGCAGGAGATGTCCCTACTTGGGCTTCACCATCATCAATGCCTGTGGCCTAAAGAAGGGGAAGGGAAGATGGAGAAGCCTTCTTAACGTCTGTCAGCCTAGAAGCGACACAGCACCTCTGCTAATCTTCCACTGGGAAATACTAGTCACATGGCTCATACCAGTGATGCAGAAGGGCACTCTGGGATGAGACGAGTGGAATAACAGCCTTGGAACTGATGAGGAGAAAAAGGAATTGGCAGCTTTAGCCCTGGACTTGGAGGGCTGAGAACAGGAATGTCCACAAGTTCAGACAGATGGCAGAGAGAGTGAGAAAGCAGAGAAACTCAGAGACAGAGCGATTAGGGCAGGACAGAGACTCCGAAAGACTAGTGGGCAGAGACACAAGGGAAAGGGGGAGATGGAGACCTAGAGAGACAGGGGACACAGAGACCCAGAGGGAAGGGAGACAGAGATCAAGAAAGAAAAAGAAAACCCAAAATAGAGAAATCCAGGGAGGGGTGGAGGCAGAGCCCAGAAATCCCCTCTTCATCCTCACTGGAGCCACTGTCCTCTGTCTACACTCACTGAGGCAGGACCCCCACCCGGCTTGTTTTGAGTGATGTCTGTATGTAGTTCATTTGTCGATTTTAATTGTCATTTCTTTTCTTTTCCTTTTTTAACTTTTCAAGTTTTGTATCTTAGAGGGAAGGGAAGGAGCCAGTCCACTTCTAATCATCCTTCTTTAAAAAACAAAACAAAACAAAACAACCGTAACAACTTTTCCTCTCGTAGAGTCCAGAAATTCAGTATAACTTTGAGGGTGAATGTAGCAGACAAGTCGCCTTTGATGAGGGAAAGCCCCACATCACGCCCAGGTGCCTT